TATGTACTATTTATTACAATTACTTTGCAAGAAATAATATAAATTAAACATTATCTAGTACAGTAATCAATGTTAAAATATTTAGGGTCAAATATGAATAAATGAAGAATAGAACAATTGGTAAGCAAAAAAAGGTGATGATTTTATGAAAAAAAAAAAATATATATATATATATATATATTTCTCTTAAGATATTAACATACCATGTAGAAATTATCCTATTGTAATTTAAATTCAAATAGCGTAGCCAAAACAATAAATATTTCTAAGGTTTTTGTGTCATTATCATTTTATACGTCATACTATGATGACGTTACAAATGCGAGGTATATGACGTCAATTTTCAACTGAATAATTATGTCTTCAAAATAAAAACCTGTTTCAATTAATTATGCTGTACAATGTTTAAGAAAAGTGTAAACAGAATTTAATAAAAGTCCTTTATTAAATTCTTATAAAAGATTTAAATATTAAAATTAATATAAATCTGTAGTAATGAATTTATTTTCAGGATAGAAACAATATATATATATTTAATTTATTAAAGTAATTTTGTTAATTAAAATAAAACGTTTAGTGAATATATATGAAAAATCTCTTAAGCCCTGTGTTATAATACAGTAAAACTCTCCAAATAACAACCTCTTTAATTCAAACGTCTCTTTAGATCAGTGTTTCTCAACGGGGGGCGATATAGCTCTCGTGTGGGCGTTTTTCCACGTTGAGGGGGCGATTTGTAACAATTTATATTTTGGGGGGACGAAAAACAATTTTCTGGGCGATATAGTGAAACATTATATTAAGAATAATTAGATATTTTATTCGTTATATTGTACAATAATTAAACAAAAACATTATACTAGTCACTAGTCTATTCAATGCAGTACAAATTTGGCGTTAGTCTCTGCCCGCGGCATCAGTATTTTGTANAAACATTATATTAAGAATAATTAGATATTTTATTCGTTATATTGTACAATAATTAAACAAATAACATTATACTAGTCACTAGTCTATTCGATGTAGTACGAATTTGTCGTTAGCCTTGACTCTCGGCATCGGAATTTTGAAGTGAAGGGGGCGATACTACGTAACGGTTTTATTGAAAGAGGTTTTATTGACGGGAACGATTGAAGGGAGTTGTTGAAAGGGGCGACGATTCGTTACAGGTTGAGAAACACTGCTTTAGATGTTCGTATTTTCGTTCAATAGAATTTTTATTCCATAGGACTCATTGTTTTTAATCTTCCTTTAGCTGTTCACCCTTTTACTCGACCAACAACCACCCGGATTCATAACCCCTTTGTGTAAAAATCCTCTCTGAGGCGACCAATTTCATCATTCCGAATGTGACGATAAAATGGAAGTACAGTGTACAATGTTGCATTGTTTCATGTGTAAAAACTCATCTTATTTTTCTCAACTTCAATGTTTTTATTTTCTCCTATTCAGTCTTATCATGATGAGTATACTGTACTGTACATAATTTGTTATTGATGTTCTCAACAAATAGTTTAAACTTTCTATTATTAACGAACAATTATTTATTGTGACATCGTTACAATTCCGAGTTACAATTTTTAATCATGTTTTAATTTATTTAATATAAAATATATTCTTTCTACTTCAAAATTAACTAGACACTGCCTCTTACAAATTACCTGTTCGTCAAACAAATAATCACTTGTCTAATGTAACCTTAATTTGATTTTAATATTTTCAAACAGTTCTATTTAAGATTTATTTACTTGTAAATTTGTGGCTTCGATGGCCTCAAATTTAAAACGTGGCAAAAAGAAATAATGGACAATAGACGTAAATACAGAAAATTATTTTAAAATTAATGTCAGTATGACAAATGTTGGAGACAGAAAAATAAATGGGTTAGAAATTAAAGAATATTGTCCTAAATTTATTTATTTAATTAGATATTTTTTTTATATGTACCATCATTAATTAAAGACAAGAAAGGGTCTTCTTTATGTAAAACAGCGGTAGTTTTTGATAACGCGATTTCTAATAAACATTAAATAATAAACACACGTGGAAACTAACTTACGCAAATGTTCACGTGAGAGGGAATTTCCAGTTAAAGTAAATTAAAATAAAAATACACAGAAAATTATTGTTCTTCGCTGCGATTTCAACATTAATTGAATAAACAGATAAAGCTTAGGTCATTAAAAGTTGTCTCAGCTTCAACGTGTGAAGAAATATTGAAAAGAAAAGGGGTAATTCCTCATGACTAATCGTTAATATGAGGGATTTCGACATTTTGACTTCGAGTGAAACCTAAAGTGATTCATTAGTGAACCACAATCGATCTGTTGGTCAGTCTCTTAATGTTAATTTTTACGTTAATTAACGTTACGTAACAGTTTTGTTAATTTTGCGTAACGAATACACCAGTAATTAATTTCAATTATTTCGTTCAATTAATCGTTGCATTGTACATCGATGTTTCCTAAAACAAGTGCTGCTGGCACGGATATTTAATAATAAAGTGTGCCATCAGTTGAAAAAATTTGAAACTATTGTTTTATACAGGATAACTCGAAAGTCCCTTGCACTCTTTTCATTCTAAACGTATTAACTCCTCGTGAATTTAATTTCATTTTTTAAAAGGATTAATAACTTGAACATCTGTTTACACAACGCTGAAGAATCCAGAAAATAGTTTTTGTGTAATTAAATAGTACTTTTAAGTTTGTTATTGAAACTTTTTAAATTTCCTCTGCTCATTAAATAGTTACAACATGAATGATCTTGAAAATCATTTTCAATGTCAACAAAAATCAACGGGTCACAATAACAATTGTGCCACAACCTTGAACCTTGAACCATATCAACTGTCACTATTTTATTTGCAGCATCTCATTAGTTTTATATCATTGAAGTATTCAGTTGACGTAGCTTTACGTTGTACTGTACGTTGCATCACAGTTGCTATTGTGTCCCAGATGAAAGAATAATATTAAATTTATGTACGTTTTAAACCTTTGTTTCTCACCGTCTTCGGCCGGTCTAACTATTTATTTAAATACTTGTTCCAGCGGTCATCATTAGATATCATTTCAGTTTTACCATTATTATTATACATAAGAGCTGATGAGGAAAAAATGACAAGAAATGCATTTGCTTTTCATAAAAAAATAGAAAATAAAATCTACTTTTTCTATCAAAATAGTGTTTCTGTATGATAAGTTCTCTATAGCAATAGGGTAAACTTGCCTAATTCGTACTTGCGCCTAATTGGTACTTCGCTTATATCTCGACTCCGGTAATAGCTATTAGTGTCTCTAGTAGCAAAAAAAGTAAATAACAATCGATCATATTACCATCTGACAGACAACACGCTGTTACTCTGCTCCCGACAAAAATATTGAAAAGGAAAGTTTTTTTTAGACTTTTTCTGTAATGTTTTTGCACATTTCGTAAGAAATTTCTTCAAATTGGATCGTGTGTAAGTTTTTTAACTATCTGTGATGTATTAGTGCGTATTTTTGTGATTTCATCTGAAGTGATGAAACATGCGTATCTGTTGTCAAATTTTTTGGCGACTAATGTAAAGTTTGTTCGACTCTTGCGCCTATTTCGTACTCGAGGCATGTTCTTAAAACGTACTGGTACGATTTAGGAAAACCATTTTAGATGAATGTCACAATAAGCTATTACCGATTCGTAAACTTATTTTTTTTCTAAGTTTCTGATTTAAAAAATAACCGCAAAAGTTCAAAACAAATTAAAACTTAATCGTCTTTAATTTTAGAACAACGTGTCAAAAAGAAAATATAATTCTTGAAGTAAAGAAAATATGAAAGAAGCGATTAAAAAATATAATGACGAGACCTTATAATTTAACGAAGTTTGTAGTGTATATAATGTACCGTAATTGACATTTAGACGATAGTTACAAGGACTGAATATACATCAATGAATAGACTAGATAGGTCATTTTTTAAATCACTAAAACTGAATTTTAGTGCTGCTTGCGCATCGTGGATGCAAACCATCCTGGTTCCTTAATAAAGCATATCTTCGAGCCGTTTGTATGGACACAGGCATGCATGACTTCGAATCTTGCGGATTGTGGCCTCGCAATCGCTTTAAGATCGGGGATGAGGAATATGTCGTTCTTGACGAAGATGCTAATCTAAGTGAAACGGCGGAAGTCTCCCAGAATCTGGCAACTGAAAGGCAGCAAGAACAAACAGATACTTTAACGTGTGTGGCACAATCCAATCAGACTACTGAGAACAGACTGAAGAAGTTGAGTACCCACAACTTCCTGAGGTACCGACAACTCACCCTTCGGAAAAACAGCAAGATCAGTGTCTGGAAGAGAAAGCGAAGGAATGTTCTTTAGGTATGAAAGTAAACATTTCTAATACAGAGACAGTTCGAGCGACATTTGAAATAATATCTCCACTACGTGGTATTCTTGGAATTGCAAGAAGAAAAACGTATGAAAGAATCTTGGTGCGAAGAAAAGCAAAACTACTAAAATATCACAAAAAGAGAATTAAAAAAAACAGGAAGATGAAAATAACAGTTGGTACTGTAAATTATGCCAAGAAGACGTAAAAGAAAGTATGATCAAATGCACACAATGTGAGATATGGGTACATGAACTTCGCGCAGGAACCAATAAAAAGACAATGGATTACAACTGCGATGACTGCCAAAAATTGGCGAAGACCATCTGCCGAATTTGTTAAGAGTTAATATACACACGTATTAATACATTATTGATAAAGATTTTTATTCTTAAGACTGCAAACCAATGATAGGATCTCAAAGTACGATTTAAGAATATATCAGTACGATTTAAGACGAATGTTCCTAAATTGTACTTTTTAGTGTTGTTTTAAAATTGTTTATTTCTCAGAAGTTTATAAGATTTATGCTAAATTTGATTATAGTAGTAATAAAATATTTCCCAAATAAAAGTTACTTAAAATGAAAAATAATTTGTGTTTATTAATTTCGATAATATGATGGTTTTTTCTTAAGTTTAGGCAAGTTTACCCTATTTGTACTTAATGTAAAGAACATAAGAGAGAACAAAGAAGCGATTGAGTAGCAGATGTATCGTGTTATTCATTGTAAAGATTAGTACATGTACGGATCAGACGGTATTTTAGCAATTAGCAAAGAGGATGGTAATGTTAAAAGTTTTTATCCCTCATATTATTCTCAGTTTCAGAAGAAATATCAAAGAAACATTCAAGCCATTTCATTCCATCTCATAGTAGACATGTTAGTTGAATCTTTATAATTTTTAAAATAAAAAATCAATAAGGAAATGTTTTATGTTTTATTTTATATAAAATATATTTATACAATTATTATTAGTAACATACATTAATTATCATAACCGACACTCTTCATATTTTAATTCAATACTATTTTGTGTTAATGCTTCTTGAACGTCCAAGTCATTTATTGAATCTTTGGAAGGAATTTGATCAGCTAAAGATTTATCACAGTGTTGAAGTAGACTGAGGATTACAGGAATCACAAACATTGCATGCCATACTGTCTGCAGAGAAAGAACTGTCATAATTTTAAAAAATGAAACTGCTATATAAAATGGTTCAAATGGTAGAACGGTAATTGCAAGAATGGTCGTACATATTCCTTGTAATATAGGAAAACCTATTTCGTAAATACATTTTTTAATTCTTTCTTTTGATGAAATATCTTTGGCCACTACGAACGAAAATGATATATGAGTTGGATAATTAATAGAAAATCCTACACAAAGTATGAGTGCATATAATAAGAGAATATCCATTTTAACGTTGAAAAAATAAACGTAACCCACAGTTTCACATATTATACACAAAACGATGGTAGATATTGATAAAGCACAAGTTATATTTGGTACGAATAGGAAGAATACTAAACACACCAAAGCAGAACTGATGAGAATTGTCTGATAAACCATATTTTCAATTATGAGAGCTTGTTCTATTAAATGAAAAACTACGCTATGAAGTTTTATAGAAATTGGTGATTTATCAGCTATGTGGTAAAGATCCTTTATTACCTTAACTTCGACATCTTGATCAGTAATATCTTTTAACAAAATCAATATACGACTTGTAGTAATATCTGTAAAGTTCTCATTAAAGATAATATCTTCCTGGAATTCTCTCGCTTGAGGAATACGAAGAAAAACATCTCTTAAACCATTAATGAAATCTTGTTTGTCAGACATATTGTAACCTCTTAAAGAAAATTTTCCTACTGGCATATCAGAAAACATTTTATAATATTTTAACCACGAAATTCTTAAAGATGAATCCGCAACATTTGGATGAGTTTCAAAACTATTTAAAATAGATTCTAATGAATTCTGAATGTCTTTATCGGCATAATTCAACGGTTGATCAATAATAATATGAACTGGATAATAATATTTATTAAAATATTTGAAAAATTGTTCATTGTAAATATTTATAGAAGAATTATCGGAGAGTAAATCAGAAAATTCATTTCCTTTTTTTATAAATATAAATCCCCAAATTCCTATACCAAGATTGATAAAAAGTAATATAATAACAATAATCTTTGTTTTGGGGAATGTCAAAAGATGTCCAATTTTGTCTCGAAATTGAGCCATTAAAAATTCCTCTTCTTTGTATGATTCTTTTATCTGAGATAAATTCCCTTGCCTTGTTCTTGTATCTATAAATAAAACTTATCGTTAATGTTTAATAATTAACATCACATTAAATATATTAAATAGATGATAGAATTTCTCTCCATTTAAGTATTTTTAAGTAATTCAAATTAGATAATAACATTATAAATAAATAAATAAAAATCTAGATAATATTATTTTATTTAAAATGATTCAATGACCCAAAATAATATTTAAAAAATAACGACCCAATTATATAAATATCATTATATGGAATTTATTTTATTACTAGTTCTTTGAACTTACTTTTTATTGGACAGAAAGTCAAGGAATGAAGATTCTTCTCTTCGCGATATCCGCTTAAAGCCATGCAAGCACCAAAAAATGTAATTTGATAAATGTAACTAAAAAATACGCTGGCAGCTGCATAACTACAGAACAATTCCACCACAGGAAAATGTGCTGCAATTCCCACGCAGAAAGAAATAAAATTCGTAAGAGATGTTATCGTTATCGAAACACCAGCTTCAGTATAAACTTTTTGTAGTCGTTTTTCAACACTATCGGTAACTGGAGTATTTCTCCAAGCTGATATCATTACAAATGCATCATCGATTTCTGTTCCTATAAAAAAAAATATATATTATACGTTAAAACATTAATACCTTTACATCAAAATTAATTTCGGTCGACATATTAAAAGTAATACCAGTGGCGCGTTATACATTCATACGGCCCAGACAAATTTAAATTAGGGGGTTACATGTACACTGTTGATAATTCGGAGAATTTTGGTGAGGGCTTCAGGTAATAACCCTTTTTGCCCATAATATAACGCGACACTACATTAATATTTATAACATACTGGAGGGGAGCTTTTCGTCCTTCTAATTCCTTGTATGAAATTGGGTGAAAAAAAAGATTATAAGCCGAAAAATAATATAACTTTATAAATATAAATATAACTATTTATAAATATCTTTTATAATTTATAGAATTATATAAATAGTTAACATTTTTTAGTTACGTACAGTACTGTACTTTTCCTTCCTTTTTTTTAAATATAGATATTTATATTTTATTTTAGTATTAATATCTAAATTTAGAATTTAAAACATCTTAATTTATAAAATAAATCTACTTACCGAGTATAATAAAACATAGACCAATATTAAAATCGGTGTATTCAATTCCTAAGTAGGATACCAATCCAAAACCACTGATTATGGCTAAACCAGCAGAAATACAAGCAGAAGGTCCAAGCCATGGTTTACTTCTAATCCAATTATTAGTCATACAGCAAAGAAAACTAAATGAAATTACTGTAATTGCAGCAATAGGAATACGTTTCATGAGATATTTTGCAATTGTATTAACTTCTTGTAATAAATAATTATCATTGAAAAAAGAAATACATATTTCAGAAAATTGAAGAGAAATTAATTTTTCGTTAACTGCTTCCCTCCAAAGTTGTATAATTTCTTCTTTACTGGAATTACTTACATCTGATAAATATATAAAACGTGCTGCTTTGACATCTTTTACAAATCCTTGGCTGTCCAGTTCTACACCTCCTAAAGAAAGTACATATTCTTCATAAGATAGAGTTAAATTATTCATATGTATTGGATATTTTATTTTATATTTTCCTGCTAACATTTGCTTAGCAAAGGGTATTAAATTATGAAAAGTAGTTTCTAAACATTTTCCATTTCTTTTACCACACAAGTCTTCATGCTTATATGTTTTATTATTCCATTTAACAGTTATATTTTTAACAATAGCGTCTAAACGTGCAATTTCTTCTATAACTTTACTACGTAGAACACTTCCACCATCCTTTGCAGTTGCCTGTATTATAACAACTGATTTAATTTTTGTTATTCTTGCCATATCAGAAAACGATGACGTGTTCATAGGAAAAGTCACTTCTGCTAGATTTTTATTACTCTGTGCTCTCCCATTCTTAGCAGTAAACAAATAATTTAAATCTCTATTTATTTTTATTGTTAATAAACCAGAAGAAAATATTGATGTAAATAAAACAGTTCCTATAAGAAAATAATACGGATGTTTTGCAATTATTCTTCCTAAACTTGAGAAATAACGAGAAAGAACATTTTGTATACAGTGCAATTTCATTTTGTCGATGTTATTATAATCCTGAAAATACAAAACATAAATAATTATATATCTTACACTTGCTACAATCATAAATTAATCATTTATTTATAATTTATTGTTAATACAGAGATTTATTGAGCTGTCACTGCAGACAATATCGTTGATCGTGATATTGTTTCTAAGCGATGACAACGCAATAAATCTCTCTAATATGAATACAAAGTTGCGATCTGAATATTTAATTTTTGTCCTCTTTTTTTTTTTATATGATTTAATATCATAACTAATATTGTATTATTCACTTTCTCTCTGACAAAAATAAATCAAACGTATTGACTAATAAGTTTCGTTTAAAATATTGCCCAGAAGACAGATTAGACACACAATTTATTATTACTGTACTGTCAACTGTTTTCCTTTATCTTATTTTAACAGTACAATCAGTCAAACTAGTCAATCATGCCATGTAATTTTATAAATGTTTTTCAGTTAAAGCTACATCTAGAAATTCTACAACTTTTTATTAAGAAGCGCTGTTTTAAATTGAGTTCAAGGGATTAAATTATATTTATTATCTAAAGGAAAAAAAAACCTTTATTAATTAATTAACCTAATTTCTAGCATTTGACACAATATTTTATTATTAAAATTTACATTCATATATTAAAAATAAAAATTTAAACTTTAATTACTACGGTTCAAACATATTCGATATATTTTTTTAAAAATATTCTTTAAAATTTAATAAATTATTAATAATTCTATTAATATTTAAAAATATTATCTCTTATTTTTTGGTTTTATTATCCATTTTATATATTTATTATTTATGAAATTATTCTTATTAAAACTATCTGTTTAATTACAAGATTCAAATCTCATTCCTTTATTTACAATTCTTAATCATAACATTTTCTTATCTTCTAAATTATTGATATTAAATTCCATCACATTTAATTATGATGAGACAGAAATTAGCATTTGTTTAGAATTCCTCTTTGTAAATTCCCTGGATAATACTCATGGAAAATTTCGAAATTTTCCTTGTCTCTTATCTCGTCTTGTAACTTTTTAAAAGTCTAGGGGATTTCCCCTATTTTTTTAGAAATTTGGTTACAAATATGACACAGATATTAAAATTCATTTTAATTTTTTAATCTTAGTAAAATGAATATTTTATCTTATACAATAATTGATCCTTTTCATAATAGATTCCTCCTCGAAATCTTCGATCTTTACGTGTTTTTGTATATTAATTTGTGTTTCTTTAAATATAACAGCATTATATTAATTTTAAAAGAAATATCTGCAAATATGTTCGAAGAAATTAATGAGATTGATAAAACTATTGTTGCAGAAATAAAGACCTTTCGAATAACAAGCGAATAACACAAAATGTACGATTAAAACAATAATATAAGACGAAATATTAAATAACAGTCAATAATTTTATATAATAAGTTTTATAAATAGTATAATTTTTAAATAAAATTCACAAAAATATAGCAGTAAAAATAAAATATTTTACTACTTAAATATAAATCAATAGCTAAAGATAATCTACTAAAAAGTTAATTTAATTAGTAAAATAATAAATTAAATGTTTTTAAATAATAGATATTATATATACAAGTTTTGTAAATTTTAATAGATAATGAAGCTAAAAAAAAAAGAAGACAATGAATATTTATTACCCTTTGATCACGAAACGAAGTCATTTTGTTCTCTCTGCTTGCTTGGTAGTCGTCAACTAACATAAATGTTTAGTTTCATAATTTTAACTTGGAAGCATATAATTAAAATTCAACGTGTTCAGGATTTAATACGTCAGCTTCAAAGAAAATATGTCAGTGTGAAAGGAAAATGAAACCACAAAAAATAAAAAAAATTAGATGATTATGACGCAAATTTAAATGTCAAACTCGTGTTACACGAGTTTGACATAGAATTCTGATCGCATTTCTGAATAGAATTTTTAAAAATAGTCAATAAATCTTTATTTTAATTCGGTTTCATTATAAATAATGAAAAATAAGTTTATGCGTATTATAAATTAAGTAACGTTTTATATACATAGTACACATTCCTTGTATATCGATTATTTATCAAACAATAGACCAAATACTTGGGCTACTGTTTGATGAAAGTAACCAATGGATTAATATTTTTTTAAAAATTCTATATAAAATTGAATTTATAAAATAAAAAAGCATACAAATAATTTTTTTTTTGTATTTAATTTCTTAATCTGTGGGTCAAGTTGGGTTTTACCAGTCAGTGTCATGTCTACGACCACTGTGGAAATTGTATTTTTAGCTATAATTTGCGTCATTATTGAAAAAAAATTTGAAAATAATTTTAAGTTTGATCATCGTTACATGCCGGAGGCAAATACATCGGTAGTGACGTGAGGGATAGGACCCACAGATCTCTGCGAAAATTCCCTATGATTGCACAAGCTAATCAAATTCTCAGATTGAATAGTGTGTCTCCCTGAGAAACAGATTGACGCCTTAATTACCTTGAACATCAGACCTCTACGCGTGGAGTTAAACAAACAATAATATATTAAAGTCAATGTCTACACTTCAGTCGTACTGTAGATTCAAATATTGTGAAATGAAGTTACGCCCATCATGAATACATACGTATTTAACATGATAATATGGAAGTTCCGATTATATACGAACAGAAGCCCCAATTATATACGAACTTTCGGGCTGAACAGGAAGACACATGATTTTTAAAAATTAAAATATGACTAAAAATTGCAACCCGGTATTGTGACGATGTCACTCACAACAGTATACATTCAATTTTTTTTTTTGTTTTTTTAAATAAGTATCCGTCAGATGTATAATTTCAGCATAAAATAAACTATTTTTAAATAGGTTAAGCCTGGATAAATCCAGGTTTTTACCCAAATTTATCGTAGAAATAAATATAAAAATCTTTTCACTGTAATGTTTATTAGTCATAAATTCTTGCAATATATCAATAAGTAGTTCAACGTAAACTAGTAATATTAAAAAAATATATATATTTCCTTATATTATCTATAGAATATTTTATTTTATAATAAGATTACAGCTTATGATTGTTTTAAAAAAATTACCTGTATTCTTCTATTAATCAGCGTATTAATTAAATAAAATGGAAAGGTCGATGCCCATGACTTCAGATAACAGTTGACTCTTAGCTTCTATATCTGTTAATACATATATTTATTCGATAAATAATTATAAATAACGTAATTTACATGTAAAACCTGAATAAAATATCTAAGTATATTTTAAGATATTTAAAAAATATTATCTTTAAATAAATGCCAAATATAAAAGATTATTTGAAAAAATGCTTATTAGCCTTAACTGTATTTAGAATTATAATAAATTAATTAACAATATAATAAATTTAGTTTTAAATATCTGTTTCTTTTAGNAAAAAATTATAAAATTATTAATATATTAGGTTTTCCGTATTAATGTTGGAAAATGTATTTGTGGCATTTTTAATGGCTGTATTTTAAAATCTTTCCAATGTTACTCATTATACACTGTTGTTTTAGAAGACAGAACCATAGGTATCGTATAAGTGTGACAATTTTTAAGTATGATAGTTTTATGTCAGTAAATATGGCCTGCACGCGAAGAGTTTTGTCATGTTACTAATTATGTTTTTTTAATAATTTATAGTATTGCACTGAAGAGGGACTTAACATTTATATAAGTCCGAAATGCATATGTGGAAATAATAAAAGAAGTGTCTAACCTGAAAGCTGTAATGATAATCTACCGAACTTAATTTCGGATTAAAGAGACATACATACATAAATATTTATATATAAATATTTGATATATTATAAAGTAAATTTATAATGATATAAAAGAACTTAAACATTTAAAAATTGAACAAACGTAACTAAATTTCTAATATTCTACTTTAAATAATTACTCTATGTTAATATAATATAAATAAATTTTTAATATAAAGTTTTAACATACCACTTTTAGAGTTAGACTGTATTTTACAATTTTTATATTCGTCCTTTTCAATAGTTAAACTTATAATTTAAAAATTAAAAGTATCGTATACTGTACTGTACATGTAAATATAAAATAAATAACATCTCTGCAGGTACAAAAATTCTCGACAAAATAATATTATATCAAGTGTTAAACTACTTCCTATAATAATCCAAACAAGTTATTTTCTTGTTATCGGTTTGAAAATGTGAATTAAGATATTGTGACGTCAAAAATGAGTTCATATACACGCAATATATTGTCAATGACGTCATTATTTTGCATATATGAGATTCTTATCTGTATGTAACGTTAAATGTATTGAATTTCAATGTTTTAATTGACCTACAGATATTAAATATATTTTAACTTCTTAGTTTTTAAACAAACGTATACTACATTCTTATTGTTTTATGTTTAAGCATATATAATTATAAATGTAGATTAATTATCAAAAATAATCTTACGTATAAAAGACTTTACATATCAGAAAGAAAGAGATAAGATGTAGAATAAGTATTGTCTATAAAATTATATTAATTATATACTTTAATAGCATTCGTACTGTATAATAAGTTTTGCTAGAACGAATACAGTATTTTAAATTATATATAATTTAATCTATAACTAGAAAATAGCTGTTTGCAACGGCTCTAGCATACAAGGTAGGAAGCAGTGTTTTCTGAACGTATCACTGAAAACTGGTAATTCGGTTGTGAGTTCGTCTGGACGGGCTGGCAACGTGGAGTTTTGTGTTTTCTCCACGTCTTTAACGCCTAAATAGGGACTAGTTACCCTTAAAAGACCTCCCGAAAGACATCCCCCTAGGCAGATCTACAAGTGTTGTGTTGCCGTAACTAACGAAACAATTGTCTGTTCTCAAACAGAACCAAGATTTGTCACTAAAGACGATACGCTACCAATCCGTAGTAGTCTAGTCTGAAATGACAACACAACAAACGAAGCCGATTATGTTTTAAATGCCAAAGCCTAGTATTTACATGCGGAAACGGTGGGGGAGGGGGGAAATGTCACTTTAGACACTGTTCCAACACTTTCTCAAAGTCAGGTGAGAACGACCTAGGAAACGAGAAATTCTGGAAACAGCCATCCTGCTTTCCTTAAGCCAATGAAGCAGCCTGACATAAACAGTACGTAATATCAGACTGTGACGTACAGTACAGGCATGGCATTCGAATGCTTTCAAACAATGTTTCTGTGGCTTTTCACACTATGCTCCACACGTTTTTTTGCACTATCGCCATAGTCCCCAAACGTTTTTGCGGTATATTGGTCAAGATTACTTTCAAATGTAAATTTGCTACATTTTTAGACCATAATAAGGAAAAACGTTTAATAAAAATAACTATTTAAATTTAAAAATAGGGAAAATATACGAAAATCTAATTTAAAGTCAGCAACTAACTTTATAAATAAGCAAATATAAAAATATGAACATCGAAAAAATCAGGAAATGTGTTTATAGCTTCTAGTAAAAAATGAGAATTATTAGTTGTATCATTTTGGTACTTTTCTTTTGTCCATCACAAACTACAGTAAAATTATATTCATAATCTAAAATATAAAATTACATTATATTAATCGATATAGCCGTTGGTGAGCCAGAGTATTAAGGTTATATACAGTATTTGGTCACAGTTAAACATTGAATCTGTAATGAGATTAGCTAGCACAAATGAAGGACAAAGAATGACGAAATGACGCCTCGACCCGTATTACCCATAATAAATTTTATTTATTTGGATTAGATTCAAACAAGAGTTTCCCACAGCGTAAGCTGACATCTTACCACGTGGTTGTTGAGCCACAAACAATATAAAGCATTATTATTCAATCGTGTTAGAAAGCTTATTGCTTACGTTTTCAGATTTCTCAACTAATTAAATATTCTTTCTGGAATTAAATCATAATCTTCCGAATTACGACAAAAACTAAGAAATAAGTTTAAAGAATTTCAAGAAAATAAAAGATTTATCATATAATAACTAATCATTATAACCTAATAACATATGAGCAGTACTTTTATGTTAATATATTCATTTACAGTTCTTATAAGATTTAATACTGTAAATAAATCGTTATAAAATAAATTAGAAATTTATTTATTTTATTATGTTTAGTAACGGTAAGTAGGGCCTACTATTTGTATTTTTTGTAGTGGACGTCCCTATTTTTTTCTTGCCATTAAAATGATAATGAAAAGAAGTTTTTTTATTTTGCGAAATCAGCAATAATAAATTCAGGTTTTTATTTTTAAAAAATTGCTTAATTATGTGCAATAAAATTGTCATAAAACATAACTTATCTACATTTTTGTTAGCTACTACTCTTATTTGATTCATTACTATTACTTAGTATTTGTCAACACGAAGCATTAATAATAGTTATTATTACTTTCTAAATGTGCAATTTTAGTTTCAGATATTAATTTTTTATATAATTAATTATTATAAAGTGACAAAAAACACTTAATTTTAAGGGTAGGGATGAGTTTTAGAAAAAATTGTAAATGCTAATAACGAGTAAAATCTTTATTAAGTCCGATCCTAATCGAGATATTAAACACGACCCCTTTATCTTCCACTCCTAGACCTTTAGACACTTTAGTCACTTTAGACTTTAATCATCAAAATTTACTAGCATCACTCCTCCTAATACACAAAACTTCTTGCAAAATTTCAGAAATTTTCGACAGAAAGCGTGAAAGTTATTATTAATCTTTACATTGAGTGAACAAAACCGTGCCCTTACATACACACTAATATCCATACATACATATAGAAAAAAATACAAAATGTTTTTGTATTTCTAACATTTCAAGGTCTCCTGCGTGTAAAAATATAAAATCTTGAGAGATCATATTTTGACCTCCCTTTACATTAATCACTACAGTAAAATTTCTCGAGTTTTATTTTTAAATTACAGTTACATTCTAAGAGTTCTAAATTGATGGAAGAATGTCTGGCAGGTGGTTCAGTGTGAAGAGAATCATGTGGTGACTTCATGAGATAATTTTCTTTTGGCTTGCTTCTTGTGAGTTCTGGTGCATCCCTACACACAGACTAGCAGTAATCCACAAGCATTGCTTCATTCCAACGGCCCTGATATCTTTGTTCCATTACAGATATATCCTGGTGGAATCTTTCTCCATGTTCATCACCGACAACTCCACAACTAGGAGGAAAAAAGTCTAGGTGGGAATGGAGAAAATGGATTTTGAGAGAAGTGTTGCATCCGAGTTGATGGTATTTTTCCAGAAGTACTGTCATCAACTGAGTGTAGTTATCATCCCTTTTGTTGCCTAAGAATCCCTAAGACTCCCTTTAAGTGTTCTTAAGCTTACTTTTCTTTTCCCTCCAAAACTCGGTCAAATGCAGGATCCTTTACAAGTTGTCGAATTTGTGGCCCAACAAAAATACCTTACTTAACCTTTGCATCACTCAATTTAGGAAAGTTGTCTCTTAAGTACTTAAACGCGTGTCCTTCCTGGTTTATAGCTTTTACAAAAGTTTTCATTAAACCCAGTTTGATATGAAGAGGTGGAAGAAGAACATCTTTTGGGTCCATGAAACGCTTGGCAACGACATTTTTCTCGGTAAAGTCAAGATTTCTTGCAGGCCAGTCCGCTTGAATGTAATGTGATTTCCTATCCCTACTGTACCACATACTGTACATAAAAAGCAACTGTATTTAGTGTACCCCAGTTGCATTCCTAAGAGTACAATGATAACTTTTAGATCGCCACAGATTTTCCACTTGTGTTCAGCATATTTGATTGAGTCTAGGAGGGCTGTTATATTTGCATAAGTCTCCACCATGACCAACAGGAATAGACAGAAGACGGTTGCCATTGTGAAGTAATACAGCTTTCAAACTAAGCTTGGAGAAGTCTGTGGATAGCCTCCATTCACTTAGATCATTGTTCAAATACAAACATTTCATCAAGCCACGTTGCAGCAAACAACCAGATTGTTTTTCTTCTCAAAAAAAAAAGAAAGCAGATCTCTCTGACATTCTCTGTACTGTGAGACTCTGACAACACGTTGGAGAAAATTCCATTGCTGTAGTCTTGACCCTAGAAGTTCCGCCTTATTCTTTGACAAGTCTACGTCTCGAATTTAATTCTCATTCAATTCTGCATGACTCAGTCTGTGGTGTATCATCTTTTATCTCAAAATCAGGGTCATAGAATGTGGAAGGCTTGTTGGGTTCTTCTCTCAAAGTTTCTTCATTTTCTACTTCAAGCTCATAATGTAATGGAGTAGGAACTGGTAAACTATCTGAATGTGGAATAGGTCGAATAGCAGATGGAAGATTTGGATATTGAACTGTTCCTTTTTTCTTCATTGACAATCCTGCTTTTATAGGTCAAACAGAAATAGTAGTCATCTATATGATTTGGCGGGAGCCTACAAACCATAGGCACAGAAAAAGCCATAGGTCGTTTTTTTTATTTTTCAGCCATTCTCGTAGTATAACTGAACAAGAGTTGAAACATATATGTAGAGCCCATGACTTATCCTGGTCTCCTACCTTCATACCAAAATAATGGTGATAGGCAGTCTTCACAAGAGGCGTCAGACTGCGTTTCTGTGACGAAAATGTTTACCACAAATATAGCAAAAATCGTTCACTAAATTTACATTTTGGTATAACCAGTATTACACTTCAAAAGCACTCCAAAACCAAGAATATTAACCAAGAAAAACAGAAGCAATATTAAACTCAGAGTCATAGACACATTTATTATGTTTATAACCTACAAATATATGAAGAATGTTATGCTAATAATATCAGTTGAGAGGTGTGACAACTCCCAAAAAATAAATTTCCCCCCAAAATACAAATGTATACCCTAAAAAAATGACAAGTCACTGTAACTCCAAAGCAAGAACTAATCAGTCATTTTTATGGTGATTTTTGAATTCAGCAGATGGAAATACATAAGAATACGCTAATTTTGAACCCGAAACATTTTCATTGTTGCAATTTTTTAAATGGATAATATTAAATGTTATTGCAACATATCAACACTGCAAAGAAATCACAATAGACCCCCTATAAAACGGTTTCATATAATACGGATTCGTATAATACGGCAAAAAATTGCGATCGTATTCCTAT